ACAACTAATTAGCATTATATAAGTTAGTTCTGGGTCACCAATTTGATTGGACAAGCATTCCAAGAGTGCTGATATTTAGTTATAACTAAATTTCACTGTTTGTATCACTCCACTTGTCTGTGTTCGCTACATAAAATTTAAATTCTAGCAAGTTTATTACACTGAAACTGTCAGTACACTTACTATGGGCTGTCAGTCAGTCTTTGTTGAATGGAGACATGCAGTACACTATTAAGCTGTGGCTTCTTTGGTAATTATTTTCATGGTGGAGTTAAAAAACAAAATATTTGGCCATATTGTGTCTGAATGTCAGTAACTTGATATTAATTTCTTGTTTATAGAACTGTTTATAAAAGCAATATCATAATCACAATTATACTGTTGTTCTGTACATCAGCACGGCTGTGATTATCTACAGTACAGTTATATGCAGTACAATGACACTCTTGCTCTTGCGATATTGCTTAGACACACCATCAGACACTTACAATAGTACAAATCAACAATACTAAAGTCAATAAGGCTAAATTCAGTAGAGCCAAGCAGATAGTACACAAGAACCTGAATCCTACCTTGCTAGCAGAAAACACATCCATGATAGAAAACACTCACAGCACACAGAATAATGAGCTGGTTACACCTTCAATATATCTTAGTAAGACCTGCCCACAATTAACGCTCTAAGGGAGACTGAAACCACTCTTAATTACACACCTGAGGCTACTAATTAGCAATACAACAACACATTTGGGATGAACTGGAATGCTCATTGCGTGACAGGCCTCCTCCTGACATCAGTGTTTGACCTACATCCACATTCCACAATCTAGTGGAAGGCCTTCCCAAAAGAGTGGAGGTTATTGTAACAGCAAAGGGGGGACTAAAGCTGGAACGGGATGTTCAACACGCATATAGTCATATAGTGTATCAGTCATATAGTGCTATGTTATAGAAAACTGATCAACGCCTTCTGATATTATTACTTTATTTTACTAAAAATCTTTTAAAATTCCTATCAATCTATCTCATAAGTACTGATACCATGTTCCCTTTGTGTAGCCTATTTGGAGCACTGTGGTTTCCACTGTTACTCCTAGTCCTACTATGAAAATGGCAAGTGTATTTTCAAATTGTATGCTGACAAAGATGAAGTTTTTAATAGCATTTGGAATCTGGGCCAAAATTGCTCACATACAACCAATGATTGTGTAGCACTTTTGTAGTGTTGGGTCAAAGGTGGCCCAGCTGTTTGAGTGCCCTTTTCTTTTTTCTTTTTACAGAACAGGACTAGCAAGTATACTGTCCTATGATGATTTCACTTGGCTGCTGTTCAAGGACTCTCAGCCATGCAAAAATACAAAACGGGGTGAGAACACTTTTTGTAATATTTGGTGAAGTTCTCCTCACATGTTGGCAGCGGTCAAAAAAATATATACTCAGTGGAAAAACACTGGTCTCTGTGGCATCCCAGGCTCTGTTATTTGTAGAAAAATAACATGCAAAGAGACCACCAACATGCACAGAAGCAGGACAACTCTCTGGTTTTCTTGAAGTACTCTACTGCCCATCAAACATGCTTCCTTTCTTCCAGTAGGATTTTAGTGTTGTATCCCAGGCAAGTGGTTTGGATATAACTGTGGAAGAAAACACTGGATTTGTATAGGTTTTTAAAAAAAATGGAATTCAGCTACAGATACCAAATGTGTCAGAGGTTGGGTGGAGAAACATAATGAGCACATGGGTGGAGACAGACACATCCAGACAGGTGTAGTACATAATACAATTAGTATTTTAAATCTCATGAGGCATGTACAAAAAATGCTGAGCAGACTCAGTTGACCTTGATTTTGCATCAAGATGGGAAGACATAAAGCTCTAGATGACGATGAAAGAGGATTCATCACTATTGGGGCCACTAGTAAGAGTGATGTCACAGTTATGGGAAAGAAAGTAATTTGAGCAGGAACTTGTGACTTGTTTTTTTTTTTTCAGTTGTGATACTCGTACATTAGTGTGATATGTAGGGAAAAACAGAAGAGCAACTGTTCTTCAGCCGACTGAGAATGACTGAGAATGCAAGTTGTGATCTGTAATATTCAGCAAGAACAGTCCAAAAACTTAGTTATAATATGGTCGCAGGTCGTAAATCTGCCATTACGAAGATTTTTGAGAATTCAGTGGTGCCAAATCCACATGCACAACATGTCTTTCGAGACAAGTGGATACAAATCTCAAAACTTCTCAACCATATTTAAGCTCAGTGCAGCAACAAACCAAAGTTCTCACACATCTCAGCAGAAACGCTGCTTAATATATCACTTATACCATAGCACAAGGACAACGCTTTCTAGCTTCCATGTTATTTACACTGTTCAAAGTGACGGCATTTGAACAACAGTTAATAATAGTGAATAAACTACACTACAGGATAAAACAGTGAGCATCACTTTATTTAGTGAATGGAGCATCGTAACATAATAAATAATAATAAAAGGCTAGTCACAGATATGATTGGTTTATTGAAGAAGAGAGGAATCTTAGCAGTGGTCAATATGATTTCCTCAGTTGCTCTCTTTTCCAGGAAGAACGTGATGGACACAGATTACAAAACAGCTGAATCATTCAAATGAAGTGTGGTGACTAGTATTTGAAACAAAGATGTGTGATTATTTCTCAGATACAAGCAACATTGTGATACATGACACACAGTTTTTTTTTTCTTAAACATAATTAAAGGCTATAATAAAGATGTTAAGGAATATGTGTGACCATAAGGCATAAGACAAGTGTGGAATTCATACTCCAATATGTTTCCCATATTATACACGAGTACCATCTCTTTTAGGAGGTAGACAATGTTACTTTGATCAGATGACAGCATATTTCAGACATGCATGCGCAAGTTCTTTTGTTTCAGGCAAGACTTTTTACTGTCTGCAGTATCACTCTGTACTACAAGAGTACAGTATGAAACAGTGTACGTGTCAGTATTTCTGTGCTACTAGTTGCACAACGCAGTGATAGAGATGACAAACTGGGATATGTTTGCATAATTTCTAGACATTCGAGGAAGATGCCTGCATAAACACACTGTGAAATAAAGAAGCATATTAAGGCATTTAAAATAGAATACTACAGAACAAAGGGTACTTGAATATGGTGAAGTTCCAGGAAAAAGTGTTGCAGTTCAGTCAAGTTCTTCTGCAACGTGATTATCAGGCAAAAAAAATCGCCTTCGTCAGAGTTCTTTCTCTGTAGGGTCAGTTTGCACCCTCCTCTGCATGATACGCTTTTTTTCCGTATACAGAAGGTCAGAGCAGGCTGTAGTGAGGAGACAGAAGAGGCCTGCGAGTGCGCACTGTTCAGCTGTAGTTCACCAGAGCACTGGACAATCCAGATTACTGAAGCCTGGATCTTTCCTCAGGTCCCAGTACGTGTTGTTGCTGACCCATGTGTCATCTTTGGATTTCCTGTAAGTATCAGGCCAAAAAAATTGGATTAAGCTATGGCCTTGTATAAAGGTATTTCATTTAATGGTTTTGTATGGTTGTGGTAATGATTTAGCAAAGATAAAATAATATCAAAAATAACAATGAGAGTTATCCAAGGCTACATTTAAGCATACAAAAATCTTTTCTCCTAAGCCCATTATGTATATCATGTATCCTCAAAATGAGAACAAATAAAAGAATACTACAATTATTTTAGCAAATATTGCTCAAATGCTAAAGCAAATAAGTTTTAAGGTATCTAAAAATCATCAAACTCAGACCACGGCCTGTTTAGTAACGGAAAACAAGCATGCATGAGGCAAAATGCCATATGCCAAATGCCCTAAATGTAAATGTAAATGCAAAAGCGTCTCTTCTAGCTGTTAATTAACTCAACCCATGCCTGTCAATCTGCTCATCATCCTATAATATCATCACATTTATTGATATTAATTGATATATATATATAATTGATATTTTGGTTCTGTGTTCATTTACTAATACAGATGTGGCTGGGATTAAATATTGTACTGCAGTGAGCCACTAGAGGGTATCTGAGACCCTTAGCTACACTTTTCAACCACTTGAACACAGTTAATTTTATATACATTCTATGTCTTAAACACTCCCAGGAGCTATGAGTTAATCCATATTTACACCCTTACAATCCTATATAAACTATATACCTTCTCTATTAGTTGCACAGTAGTTACTGTTTAATTCACAGTAGCATCTGAATGCTTTAAAACGTGTAAGTGATTAATAAGCAGGGCGTCTAAGATGAACAGACGTTGCACTGAGAAGGAAAGTGTTACTGGAGTGGTTCTTACTGGAAGAACCGTGGCTGATGTGCCATGTTGTTCTCCTCGAGGACTCTGCGCCTATCTCTCTGTAGCTGCTCGATTCTCTGCTTCTGTGCTTCTGCACCCTCAACATTCCCCTCCTCCAGTAACCTACACACACACAGATGGCATGTTAGGAAACATGGCGTTGTTCCTTTGTCTTGCATTCCATAAGGCTTGATGCAGCATGTCATCTTCTGGCAGCCCGGAAGTGAAGCGATAAAACTGGAGTAATGAATCACCTTGCTGTGTATATCACAATTCATAAATGCACTAATGTCGGGCATTATTATAGAAGAGACAATTGTGTCAGGACATAGTAGGACATGAATATCACTTTTCACACTATGAGTCAACAAAAAGTGGCAGTGAATCCAGAGCCTGGAACATGGGGCATGAGGCAAAGATACGCCTTATGTGGGACACTAGTTCATCACAGGACACCATGCACACACATTCACAATTAGGGGCACTTTAGCATAGCCAGTCAACCTACTAACATGCTTTTGGGAGATGGGAGGGAACAAGAGATCCTGGAAGACAGTAATCAGACAGTAATCTGAGCTCTGGCTTGACCTGGGGACCCTGAAGCTGTAAGCTGGCAATGCTGCCTGATGCTTTTTTTTTAAATGCCCTTATGATTATTTCAAAATATATTCAGTATGGGTCCCTGGAGGTCTAGTGGTTAGGCCACAGCACTCTCCCCACTGCAGCCCCAGTTCAATTCCCGGCCAGGGAACCGACGCCAGCCACTGGGGTTGCTGCAACAGCGCGCTCTCAGTGCCAGTCCCAAGCCCAGATAAAACTGGGGAGGGTTGTGTCAAGAAGGGCATCCGGTGTAAAAACTGTGCCAAAAACAAATATGCAGACCAATGATCCGCTGTGGCGAGCCCTAATGGGAGCAGCCAAAAGAGGAACAACAACATATTGAGTATGGCATTTAATAGGCTGAACTATATGACTCTTTGTCCATCACACTTTAATACTTCATTTTAAAAAATATTTTCAGTCGGACATCCATTTAGTAGTTTTGTTCCTATTAAGCATTTATTACTGTATGGGCTTTTGTGTCTGTCTGGTCTTTGTACTACAGTAACACATGCATAACAATATATTTATCAATATACTCTATATTAAATACATTGTGGAAAATGCATATATACTGACATATATTAGAAATATGTTGCATTGTTGCATAGTATTTTCCAATATATCAAAATATATTCTGTAAGGAATTTCTCCCAGTCAGTTGGATTCTTGAATTGAAATGTAAGTAAAATCAAATATTTTTATCTTTAACTTTATTAATAACACTTATCTAGATTCCTGCTACGTGCAGAAATGCAAAATGTCAAATGGGTTTACCTCTGATCGAGACGTAATCTCGTGTCTGTGGGCGGCAGTAAAGGTTTGGTCTGTGGATCCAGTTCATTCAGCTCAAGAGAAAACTTAGTGAAGCCATAGTACTGCTCATAGTCAGCAGGCATTGGATCTACATCAACAATATGAAGCTCATTAGACTCACCATAAAAGACATGATTTATTATATGTGTCACTGAAAGACAAAAAAGTTCATCATCGAGAAGAAACTATGATGTGACTTAGTAATTGTGATTAACAAAAGATATATAGTTTGCATGTGTGCTGTAAATCATATGTTATTGGTCAGAGTGCTTCAATCACACAGACGTTTCTTGGCTAGCAGTACTTATAAATCGGAAATGCTTGCTTTTAATGCATGTGGCATTGCATTACATTAAACGGTTTCTGTTTCAGCTGCAATACACCATCTACTGGGCTACAGTTCGGTTACAGGATTCCTGGCGGAGGAATAAATGTGCATTGGACTATATATATGTGAATCTTACTGGTTCTCCAGATGCATGTAGCTGATGGTGGGCTTCCACAGTATATACCCTCATGCCACTTCCCAAACAGCTTGTGGACCACCTTGCCTTTATGGTCCACAACTGTTCCTTCCACCTCGTTCATACTGGAGTTCCAGTACTTTGCCTGCAATGCACACAAACAAAAAGCAGCATCGTCATCGTTGTCTCAGTCCAAACAGTCCAAGATCAACACACTGTCAGAAGTGTTCTTTCTGAAACAGAGGACATCAATCCAAAAGAAAAAGGGCCTTGTTTTTATACAGCTGATAGTAAAGCAGCTTTCCTGAATGAGCCTATAGGCAGATCGCATGCAGTGTGTGTCCTTGCTCTTCAGCAGATGGCACTGCTGAGACATCAGTGAGTCAGTGGTGAAATAATGAGGATGAACTGTCATTAATCACCTCTTTCTTTCCTCTCTCCTCCCTCTCTATCTCTCTCACCCTGTATTTATCTCATTCTCTCTCTGCCTCTTACTCTCTTCAACAGAGTGACCTGTAACTTTAGAAGCCGTGGCATGTCTTTGGAACCATGCCAATGCCAATTTCTATTCTCCTACAATCGCTACCATAGCACTCCCATCACTGTGCTAAAGGATGCGTCTGTCTCTGGGTGGACCTTCTGTGTGATGGCTCTCTCAGAATCTGAGGACTGAAATACAGCATGCCTCTACTTCTCCATATACTGTAGTAGCAAGAGTGACGAAATGGTTTAGGTTCATTTGCTTCACACAGATCTTTCTTCTTCTCTACATGAACATAAAGTAATTCAACATACATAGACTCCTGACAATCAGAAGCAGCTGCTATAAATCAGTGTGTACAGGGAGTTTAGAACTATATATACATACATAAAGTTTAGCTAATTTTATTATATGATCCTTCAGCATCATACAGTGCAGTGAATGAGATAGAGGTTACACAGCACAAGGATTTCATTTCAGTGGCTGTCTACCAGCATGTGGGGAAATGTAGCTCACCTTGATGAAGGTGACTTTACACTGACAGATATCGCTGCTGGAGTTCTTAATGGAGATTTCCCCATAGTGCTCGATCCAGCGCTGACCACTCAGAATGTTGTGAATACATGATGTCACTTTGTTCCACTCATAGTGGTCTCCCAAGCTGTGAGTTAAAGAAAGCAGGGATTTAAAATTACACCCAAATTACACCCAAATTACTGCTGATTACCTAAAAGAGTTACAATAGTAATTAGCCCAATATTTATATAAACCACTGCCATAGACAGGGCAGATATTAGCACTAGCGCTACTCTATGTGTTCGTAACACGTAGACCGTGGAAGTAAAGAAGGCAATGTCACAACTGTTCCATGAAACTTAAGGCTTTTATTTGTTTTTATTTACCCAAATAATGTTATTTAATCACTGATATCTAACTAAATTTTACATTTCATAGGTTACCCAGGATCCACATAAAGTCTCCTATCTTCATGCAGGACTATTCTTTAAAGATTTTTAAAGCACCCTTCAAAATAGGCCAAATCCCAAATGACTTCCTATTCCCTATATGTGCTCACTACATAATGGTGTTCCAGAAACTACTTAGTGCACTCTGTGCCCAATAGAACATCATTTAGGAATCAGCAACAGAAATCTCTAATAAATGCTTGATCATTCCTTAAATATTATTATATTTATTTCATCTGAAAGAAAATCACTGTATAAATAAAAACACGTCAATAAAGTATGCTGTAAATAACATGCATTTATGTACTGCCCTTTCACCTAATCAAGCAACACAAGTTGCATTCGGTCAGAAAATGTTCACCCAACAAAAGACCAATAGACTAGGAGTGTCTTGTCTTGTCCACAAAGGGCTGGTGTGCCTGCAGGTTTTAATTCTAACTAAGCAGAAGCCACAATTAAAAGTTGTCTGAAGACCCAGACCAGCTCAGTGAAGTGCAGTAATCAGGTGTGGTTGCAATGAAAAGCTGCAGCCACACTGTCTGTTTGTGCAATTAGTCTCCTCTTCCATAGACTTACTTTATGTCAGTTAGAGTAGAATATGGGAAGTTAAACATTCAAATGTGGATATTCTGCATATATGTATATACATATATATATATATATATATACACTGCCCTCCAAAAGTTTGGAAACGCCTGAACAAAATAGGGTTTTTGGGCAATATCAGCATAAATCCTCTTTAGTTAGTGACCATTTTGCATTGATAATAAGGGACAACACTAGGCATCCGAGCAGTCAGTTTATTCAAACATTGACTTGATATATTACTCCAAGCCTCCTGGAGGA